TCACTTGGGCAGACCAACATTCCCAACTCCAAGCCTTCATTGATTCTGGTGCCGCGGGAAATTTCATGGACATCACTCTAGCCAAGAACCTCAATATTCCCAATGATCCCCTTCCAGAACCACTGTCAGTCACAGCTTTGGATAGCAGACCATTAGGTCCGGGTGAGGTAACTCATCTTACTTCTGACCTGTCCCTTTCCATTCACCAGCATCATGAGAAGCTCTGTTTCCACCTCATACAATCACCTGAATTCCCAGTTATCCTTGGACACCCCTGGCTGCTTCAACACAACCCGCACATTGATTGGGTTACTGGAACCATCCTGGCTTGGAGTCCCACCTGCCAAGCCACTTGTTTGAGTCAGAAACCCCTGAAACCCATTTTCGAGTCTCGAGAGCCCTTAGATCTGTCTCAAGTTCCAGCCCAGTACCACCACCTTAAAACTGTCTTCAGCAAAAAGAGAGCTACCTCCTTACCGCCTCATCGTCCCTATGATTGTGCCATTGAGCTGCTTCCGGATTCCTGCCCCCCTAGAGGCAGTATTTTTTCCTTGTCCCTTCCTGAGCGCACTGCCATGGATGACTATATTGAGGAATCCCTCGCAGCAGGTATAATCCGGCCTTCCACCTCTCCAGCAGGCGCTGGTTTTTTCTTTGTTGGAAAGAAGGACGGCGGTCTTAGGCCATGCATAGATTACAGGGGGCTAAATAAAATTACCATCCGCAACCGTTATCCCCTGCCATTGATGTCTACTGCTTTTGAGATCTTACAAGAAGCCTCAATTTTCACTAAGCTTGATCTGCGCAATGCTTACCACCTAGTGCGCATCAAACGAGGAGATGAGTGGAAGACTGCTTTCAACACACCTACTGGCCACTACGAATACCTAGTGATGCCCTTTGGTCTCACCAATGCCCCCGCTGTTTTTCAAGCCCTCATTAATGATGTTCTCCGAGACATGTTGAACAAGTTTGTATTCGTCTACTTGGATGACATCCTCATCTTCTCGAGCTCACTCCAAGAACACGTACATCATGTCCGCAAAGTCCTCCATCGGCTTCTCGAAAACCACCTGTATGTTAAACCAGAGAAATGCCAGTTCCACGTATCCCAAGTCAAATTCCTTGGTTTTGTCATCCAACCAGGGCAGATCCAAATGGATCCACAAAAGGTTCAAGCTATGGCGGACTGGCCTTCCCCTTCATCTGTCAAGGAAGTGCAGCGTTTCCTAGGCTTTGCTAATTTTTATAGAAAATTCATCCTAAATTTTAGCACTGTGGTGGCCCCATTATCTGCCCTCACCAAAGAGAAAGTTGCTGGGTTCCGGTGGGGGCCTGAAGCTGAGAAGGCGTTCAATGAACTCAAGAAGCGCTTTACATCGGCACCTATCCTCCTTATCCCAAACCCTGACAAACCTTTCACGGTTGAAGTTGATGCTTCCGAAGTGGGCATTGGAGCGGTGTTATCCCAGAGAGGTGAGGATAACAAACTTCACCCTTGTGCTTTTCTCTCCCATCGTCTCACCCCAACCGAGAGAAACTATCACGTGGGTGACAGGGAACTACTGGCAGTGAAGCTAGCACTTGAGGAATGGAGACACTGGCTGGAGGGATCCAAACACCAATTCCAAGTACTGACAGACCACAAAAATCTTGAGTATGTGCAGCAGGCTAAGCGACTCAATCCCCGTTCTTCAACCGGTTTCATTTCACCCTCACCTACCGTCCGGGTTCCAAAAATCTGAAACCAGATGCATTGTCCCGAGTATATGTAAAATCCCCTCAAGAAGACCGCAATAAACCTATCATCCCCAGTTCAAAGATTATTGCCCCCATCAGGTGGAGTCTGGAGGGTATTGTTAGGAAAGCCCAAATCAAAGACCCTGACCCAGGCGGAGGTCCTGCTGGCTGTCTGTACGTCCCCAAAGCTGCTCGATCCAAGGTTCTCCAGTGGGGACATTCTTCCCAGCTCACGTGTCATCCAGGGTCTGCTCGCACTCTTGAGTTTTTGCAGAGACGGTTTTGGTGGCCCACCATCAAGAAAGATGTGACCTTGTACGTCAATGCATGTCATACTTGCAACCAGAGTAAAAGTTCCCACTGTTCACCCCAAGGTTTCCTGCATCCACTTTCCATACCTCACAGACCCTGGTCGCACATTTCTATGGATTTCGTCACGGGGCTCCCTCCATCCCAAGGGAATACCACTATTTTGGTAATTGTGGACCGATTTTCCAAAGCTGCACGATTCATTCCCTTGCCCAAACTTCCCACTGCCAAAGAGACAGCCGAGCTTACCATAAATCACGTGTTCCGAGTCTTTGGCATTCCCCAAGACATTGTCTCAGACCGAGGACCTCAATTTTCCTCCCGATTCTGGCAAGCCTTTTGCCAGTCCATAGGGGCTACGGCCAGCCTATCCTCAGGTTTTCACCCAGAGTCCAATGGTCAAACCGAAAGACTCAATCAAGACCTTGAGACCACCCTGAGATGCATGGCAGCCAATAATCCCACCACCTGGTCCCGTTTCATTATATGGGCAGAATATGCACATAATACACTCTGTTCTTCAGCTACTGGTATGTCCCCTTTCGAATGCCAATTTGGCTATTCTCCTCCACTATTCCCGGAGCAGGAGGTAGAAGTGACCGTCCCCTCAGCCCTCCAGTTTGTCAGACGCTGCCGTCAAACGTGGAGGAAGGCACGTCTTAAGCTTCTCCGCGTATCCCAACAATACCAGCAACAGGCTAATCGTAGACGCAGACCAACCCCCACTATGCGCCCGGGCCAAAGAGTCTGGCTCTCAACTAGAAATATTCCCCTACGAGTGGATTCTAGAAAACTCTCCCAGAAGTTCATAGGACCCTTCAAGATAGCAAGGAAAGTAAACCCGGTCACTTACAAGTTATATCTACCAAAATCATTAAAAATAAACCCTACCTTTCATGTATCGCTACTAAAACCAGTCTCATCCTCTCCTTTTTCTGTGACAGGTAAACCTCCCCCTCCTCGGTTATTTGGAGGCCAACCAGTCTACACAGTCCACCGGATACTGGATGTTCGTCAAGTGCGTCGGACCAAGCAGTATCTTGTGGACTGGGAAGGCTACGGCCCTGAGGAGCGTTCCTGGGTCCTGCCAAAGGACATTTTGGATCCTAAGTTGATTCGAGACTTTCACACTCTCAAGCTCAAGTCTCTCGGCAAGAACGTCAGGAGCCGTTCCTAGGGGGGGGGGTCCTGTCAGGATTTTGCCCATGTTATTTTAGTTTTTTCTTGTAATGTTTTTTCTTCACCACTAGATGTCCTCATTTCGTTCTTTGTCTTTATTTTGTATTTGTAATCACAGCTATTGATTTCACATGTTCCTTGTTTAGCTGTTTGTATTTAAGTAGCCTCAGTTTAGTAGTTCTTTGCTCGGTTATTGTGGATCCTAGCCTGTCATCCTCTGTGAGTTCCTCTATTTGAAAAATTACCTTTTGTCAAGCTTTTTGTGACTTATGTTTTTTGTAGTAATTTTGAGCAGTTACTGATCCTGAGTTTTTTGCCTCTTGAGTTTTTTGCAATTTTTTGAAATTGGAGAAGTCTCTGTTTTTTGTCTGCTCTATCTTTATCTTCTATTGAAGTGTTTTTTTTTTTTTTGCCACTAATAAATTCCTCTTAAGGAGAAAGTTCCTTTTTGTGACTTTGGTTCTTCAACGCCTGTGTGGCTCAGTGGGTTCAAGGCCAACATCTCGTGCAGGAGACCCGGGTTCTATCCCAGTCTCTGACACTATTCTATGCCATTTTGTAGTGTAAATGGTGTAAGTAGTGTGTTCACACTGAAATATTCTTTTTTTTTTGGCTTTTTTGCCTTTATTAGATAGGACAGTAATGGGACAGGAAACGAAGTGGGAGAGAGAGAAGGGTGTAGGGTTGGGAAATGTCTTCGAGCTGGGATTCGAACTCCGGACGACCTATTGTGCTACTGCACCATATGTCAGCGCATTGACCACAAGGCTATTGCGCTGACAATATTCTTTTATTTCAAAAAAGATTAAGTTCACTTTAAATTCCTGAATGATGCACTTATTTAACCGTTTAAAAGAAGTGTGGACTGTGCACTTGGGGCTGTCTTTGTTTGTTTGCAGATTGGAGTGGAGCAGAAGAAGGAGACTCACAAGCGGAATGGTGGAGATATACTGCAAGACCTGGAGCTCAGGAAGCAGGTAGAACTGCTTGAACAGACTGAACAATGGAGTTTGTTTTCAATATTAAATAAAGACCTGATATCTTTCTCTTTGACAGGTTGGCATGGAGCATGTGGAGGAACAGGGAAACGCACCTTAGTAATGACAAGTGCATCGTAATAAATTAGATACAGCCTTAAATTTTTTAGGTTGAATCAAATTAACTTTATAAAACATTTAAAATCATATACTTTCATTTGTACATACTAGGTGATGGTCTGGTATCTCTTTAAGTCATATAAATGTCTTGTCTGCGGCAGGTGTTTCTTTTTCCTGTAATTGACACACAACAGACAGAAGAAGGAAACTCACAAGAGCATCGGTGGAGATTTGTCTGAAAACCGCTGGTTAACAGTTTATGCATTTCTGGAGTTCAGCAAGCATGTAGAGCTCTGTTAGTTGTGTCTTTATCTATTCCAGGCTGGAGTGCAGCATGTGGAGACAAATAGGAATCACACACCTCAGCAATGGACACTGATGGTCAGGAATATCCTTTAAAGGCAGATGAATGGGTGCATGGATGGATGTCCTTCCAAGTGGAAGGGGGTGGTGGTGGGCATAGATTGTTAGATATATGTATTGTCTGTGGCTATTATTTACAACTACAAAAGGCAGAAGAGTCAGCCTCACAAGCAAAATGGTTAATACTTATCTTAGGAACACTGAAGAACGTTTGGTTTATTGATGCAGATCATCCAGCAAGTAGAGCTTTGTTAGTCTTGTATTTGTCTTTTGCAGATTAGACTGGGGCCTGTGGAGAAACGGGACTCGCACCTCAGCATGACTGGAAACTGATGGTCTGGGCTGCGTTTCCCAAACAACGAAGTAACTCACGGCTAAACTATAAAAGTCTGATGCATCGTTTGAGAAAAGAATGATGTAGTGACGAGTGTTTCCCAAAACCTGTAGTTTCTCTGTCGCAGCTCCATCGCTTAAACCAGGTTAGTTATAATTATGATAAAATGCCCGTAATGATGCTCTAAACTACGTCTTTAGAGAAAAGAAACTTAATTTCTTTGTGCAAATTATACACGCACACGCATTTAAAATAGAATTTAATATTAGATTTAGTAAAAATATGCACTCGCTTTCCATATTAACTGAAATATATGTAAATGACACAAACAGGGCTAATGTTGCTTTACTAATATTATTGAGAAGTTAAACATTACACATTCTATTCTAAAACATATCACTTACAAAAGCTAACACGTATTCTAATATCATATAAATCATAAAAATAAATAAATAATAATGGCTATTTATTATAAAATGAAATGTAATATTTTTTATTTATTAGAAATGAAAAAATGATACTTTAATAATAATATTAATGATGGTGATGATGATGATTCTTATTATTATTAAGAAGGATATTTATTTATTTATTATTTTTTTAAATCTACTTTTACAATTTAACACATGTAAACCACTTTAGAAAGTTCTAACTGGCAGGCCCATGTCATATACAGTACAGATACTTAATAAATGACCCAATATAAATGAAAAGAATTACCGTATGCTTTTTGTTTTCACAAGCTTTGGAGACGTAACATAAATTCCGCTTTTAAATAATAGGTCACCTATAGCTTTCACCATGAGGCTGTGTTCAAAATGACATCAATGTTTTCAAAGTGCACTGCGAAGGGAGCACAGTTGTAAACTGTAAGATCTGTAAGATCATGAAAACTGAACTGTAAAAATAGTTTGAATGCAAATTACACCTAAGAGAGATGACTTTAATATTTTTTTATTTTTTAATAATTGCAACTTTGAATGTTAAAATGTTCTAAATGAATAGGGCATAGGGGGATAACTGAGAATAGAACACAGTCAGGAACAATGTTTCTAATTACAGCTCCAGATAGTTGGAAAGATGTCTTCTTTGTGGCAGCAAAAGTATCTTAAATCAATCAAATGTAAAGACACAACTGGAATGATTTAATTATGTTAATTATTTAGAGAAAAAAGTATTATTATAATACAAATATTAAATAATAATAATAGTTTTATTTATAATATAATTCAAATTTTGATTTAAAATATTCAGTATAGCTATTTATATATGGGTAAATAAATGTTTTTTTTTTTGGGTGGGGTGCAGTTGAGGGGGGCTCGTGGCCCAGTAGAGCTTTACCCCTGAGACTAACAAGGGGAACAGTGGAGATAAACTGGAAGACCTGGAGCTCGGCAAAGAGGTAGAACTGCTTGAACAGACTGAAAAATGGAGTTAGTTTCCAAAGAAATTTATTGAGATTAATTATAGACCTGATATCTTTCTCTTTGGCAGATTTGTACGAAGCATGTGGAAGAACAGGGAAACACACCTCAGTAATCACAAGTGCATCATAATAAATTAGGTACAGCCTTACATTTTTAAGTTGAATCAAATTAACTTCATCAAACAT